CATAATAGTAAACAACCTCGCCTGAAAAATGTTTTTGTAGTCTGTAATACTGAAATCATTTGGTATTTCTCAACAAAAATCTTTCTCACTAATTTTCCCTTTGCGCTTCAAACTATACGCAAATAAGATTTTAACACTTTACTCACACGGGTACACCTGAGTTAAATCGGTTACTCTTGATCTAAATGTTTGAAATAGAGTCGAAGTTTTCTGGAATTTAAGAGATTATCTCAGCCACAATTCTCTTTACCTAGCTTATTGAGTAATAAGGAAGTAGGTATTCAAACAGTGTGGTCAAATATCCTTTCATTTATCAACTGAGAAAGTTGTTCTACTGATGAAAATCAAACTTCATCTAAGTCCTACCTTCACCTTGGATCACAAACTTTATGGACTTGTCAAATATTTGATGGATTCAAGACAAACAGCCAAAATATAAAAAAAATGTTCAATCTACAGTTATGTTTAGAAGTTTTTGAGAAAACTGCGAATCAAGCCTCGAATGCATCAGCAAACAACTCCAGAGTTATCATCTACGTGAACAGCCAAGCAGCAATCAAGGCTTTAAGCTCGTTTCGCCAGAAGTGTTTCAGAAAGCAGCAATGCAGATTGTTGCCAGAAGTAAGCGTCTTCACTTCTATGTGGTGCCAAGGAAAATCAAGACTACATGAAATGATCTAGCTGCAGGCAAAACTGCAAAAGTCATGTGTAAAACGGTAGATCGTTAATATATAAAATTCTTACCGGCATTCGATAGAAAAGACACTATGAACATGATTGGAATACTCAGTGTTTGGTAGCGGCACATTCCTGCAAAATGAAACTGACAGATTGTGCAGACTGCAGAAAATGTCACGAACAAGGCACCAGGGAAACAATGGAGCAACTCTTGTGCACTTGTCCCGCATTGGTAAGGCTACGCGTTAAGTATTAGGCGGCTCCATGGTATGAAACACTGGAAGTAGTAACGATAATGAGGCCACATAGTGAACTCCATCTGGTATCGCAATGGACCAAAACTCGTATATGCGTGACTCATTAGCCTACCAGTCTAACCTAACCTAACCTCAGGGATCCGTGTGTAGCTGTTCAAGTGAGATCGTTCGTTACTGTGAATACCCTCACCTAACGCTAAAGGTGGACATTCCTAAGTTCGGCCCCTCTGTTCTCCCAACCATAGTTAAAGCAAGTCTTTTTATATATTTAAACGTACACATGAGTAACTATACCCATGTTGTCGCAGAAAACCAACACAAAACTGCACAGGACTAAGTCACGACTCTACAACAAATGCAACAGCATCAATTCGTGCGAGAGTCTGCCGCAAAAGACAACAACGCTGTAAATCTAACAAAAAGTCGCCACAAGTGGACAGTGTCCAACAGACACACACACACTCACACACACTGGCACACACAAACTACAAATACATAGCAATTGATTGGAGCTGTAACAACGTCGATAGCAGCGACATCCGAATTTGTCGAAACCGCATATTTGTGGCTTTGTTAGCTGGCACATAAATAAACAGATTCGAGCGAACAAAGCGGGGTCAAACAAACACAAGTGGTGAGAGGACACCCGAAATTTTGTACAGCGCGCTAGTGACGGTGACAAAGTTCGTTAACTTTTGTTGGCTATTTTCTCATTGCATTAGCACCCCCTTATCGCGAGCGTGTCGCTATTATCCCCGCATCTCTCTCGGTTCATTGGTGGTGGCTCTAATTCGCGCAGTGTCGCTTGGATATGTGTGCATTGACCGAACACTTACGTTGTATCGTTAATTAATGCACGCCATGTTAGCTGTAGACTCCCGCACATTCACAAACTAATGCTTTGACAAATCTATGCCGAAAATTTCGTAGCTAACTACTGTAATGGCTAACGTGGGTGAAGTCCCTCAGATTGAATGTAGGGATTGCATTATGTGTGAAATAATATCTGATTTCTATATTATTATTGGAAATATTAGTCGGGTATCTGTATTTCTTATTAGAGGTTGTGGCATATCGATTTGGGGTCTTGATATTGAATTTTCTTATAAAGAGCGACAGGTGCATTTTTACGCTCATGAAGTTTCTATTTTTTAAAGTATGAACTTAAAAGCGCTAACTATCGTTAAGTCAAAAATGTTTTTGTGATATAAAGTAGGATTACATTAGCGGTATCCCTTGTAGCCGAAGCCAGTGATGGCCGATTATGTAGTCAGTGAGCAACTCTGTTTGAAACAGCTTGGTTTCCGAAGCTCAGTTGTGAACGATTCTTATAGTTGCTGAAGGCACTTCGAAATACAGTCAGATCGTACTTATAGAGACCGGCGCGTGCACTCCTAATGAACATACGCAAACCTAAATGATAATTTCATTTGTAATTTCGTATATATACATAGAACTTCCTTACTCTAGCAAGTGTGCTTTTCGAGAAATTAGATTATCGAATGTATAATTTCTGCTTCCTAAAGTGTACAAATATATTCAAATATTTAGTTCTCTTATCTATATTTTATAAAGCAACTCAAACTAAAGCAGAAATGCGACTGTAGAGGAAACGCAATTCTCTGCAACTGCAGAAGGTAACTCACACAGCTAAAGCTCTAGGTTGCGAGATATAAACTTATTAAGCAAATGCCGCTACCATTGTTTGACAAATTGATTTCCAAACGCAGCAATACTTGAAATTGCAAATTTTTGCACACGGCGCAACGCAGACTATTATTTCTCATTGATATGTATAGTAGGCACAAATGCCACAACTTTACTTCACAACTTATAAAATATGAATGTAATGAGAAAAGTTTTATTTAATTAACAAAATCGAAGTTCGCCGCATTTGCTTTGATATTAAGTAAAATTATTCAACAAGGTATTCATCTCTAAAGCTGGTAAAGCCATCTTTTGTAGTGAAAATTCACTCAAAGAAATGCTTTCCATTAGTTGCAAATTGGAGAACACATTGTTCAGAGTGTTGCTGGCAGGATAAGCGTAAACTATGCTTCAATAACAAAAAAAACTTACTTTGATATTGCAATAATAATAGCGAAATTCCGCATTTAGCCTTACAATTAGTCAGTTTTTGAACAAAATGGCATTAAATGTGTATCAAGTAAGTGAAATTGGTATGCAATGTTTAGTAGAAATTTTATGATTTATAATAATTTTTAAAACTTCAAACTGATTTGTGCATTATTGAGCGTATTGCGATCCATTTCTGCAAAATACCTGTCACAGAGTTGACTGTTTTACCTTTTTGCAGCTAATCAATCAACAAAATTCCTTCTGCATTCCAAATAGCTGTTGCCAATCCTTCGCTGTTGATCGTTATAGTTGCACTTGCTTTGGTGCTGAACAACACGCTTCAGTTCACTGCAAACGTTCTTGTTTCAATTTAGGATAATGTGGTAGATCCAAGGCCATCCATAATTATCAAATAAATCGGTTTATTCTGTTTAAACCCTCAAATTATGCGGAGAATTTTTTTCGATCCATTTTAGTTGAATTGTTAAGGTGCGGCACTACTTTCCAAAAAGGCTTTTCATATGCAATTTTCCATGTAAAATGAAGTACTAGTTCATCTGAATTGTCTTTGGCTTTAACAATTTACGCTTAGTGTAATTGGATCTTCATTAACAATAATATGAATTTGCTCAATGATTTCTGGTGTGGTTGCGGTTTTGGTCGTTCTTCACGTGGATTGTCTTCAAGCCTAGTAGACCACGTTTCAATCTCCAGCCCAAAATTCAATGGTGCGTTTTAAAAGTGAGGACTCTTATAAACTTCTTATAATTATACAAAATTTTCTCTGCTTTTAGACCTCTCAAAACAAAGATTCTAATCACTGCGCGATAATAAATTTTTCAATATTAAAAAATACTCTGACACGTCAACTTCAAATGGCTTGTAAACAAAGATAAAATGACAGAATGACTTGTTGTCTTGCATTTGTTCTTATGACAGATATAGCAACTGAAAAAAAGGGTTGCAGATAGTAGTGCTATTTCTTGGTGAGCTCAACCAACCAGTATACTGCTTTAAATTTTTCTATCTGTGTCACTATGGATATATAGAAAAGTCACTCTATACGCCATGTGGATGCATCATGGCGTTAGTGTTTCTATCAATATCATTTTGAGTATATGTGGAAGAAAATTTAGACATAAATTTTTATTTCATATAATCATTTCAATTAAGACTTTTGAAAGTAAGCTAATATAGCAGCAGATAAATATATACAATGTTTTTCCTCAATTTCAATATTACTCAAATTTAATATTAAAATATTTAATATCACCATAATGACCTTGAGGAGTTGATGAATTTTCCGTTGTCACCTAGTATTAAGGACAGCCTGCATCATTTGAGAAGTGCTATACAACTCGAAGAGAAATCCTGATAATCTTATCATATATAATAAAATGCTGTATTAGTTTACTTTATCATTAGCTAAATACAATTGCTATATAAGGGTTGAAATTGCTTACTGTATGCACTTGAATTTCGTCAATCATTTTGAAAAGCAGTGGAAGCATCAAAACCTTGACAGCCGTAGAATGGTTGGGCGTTGCGGCCGAAAATTAATATGTAAATTTAAATGCTTCTCTAAATCGTTTTTTGAATTTCGAACCATTTTACATGAGCAAATGTTCAAAAGGAGCTTTTTTATCTTATTCCCCTAAACAGACTAGCTTTTCTGACAGTGAAGTTTATTTAAACTCCTCTATTACATTTTCTTAAATATCATAGTTGATGCCTGATAATGCTCTCTTCAAGAAAAATATTTAAAGAAAAGCATATTGTTTCTTAGTTTTAAATTTTAAATTATAAATCTCACCATAAATTTATTTTTCTATAACAGCTAAAGTATTACATATAACAAGGAATAACCTTAACTTTTCAACACGAAACATGTCTTTAAGACTAAACTTTATAATTATGTAAGTTATTAAATTTACAATATTTACAATTGACAAAGATAAAAATTGCCAGCTTTATGCTTGAAATCATTCATTTTAAAAGCCATCCGTAGTAATACAAAATATAACTAACAGATAAGATTGAAAGCATGCTGTCTAAAGTTATAACATTGAGGTAGACAATCGGCCACGCACATGAAAGCTCCTGCATCGCAGTCCGTTTATAGTTTTCCGGCGCATAAAATTGACTCCACACTTTGATCTGGTCCATGCCAGGAATTCCACTAATTCTATTTTCTCACTAATGTTCAAGCTAAATGTCGCCCACGTCGTGTGTACCGGTTCGAATATCAGATCTTCCAACATACTACAATTCGGGTCATATCGCCGCGAAACTGGTCCATATATCAACCATGGTGCGCGTAATTTCATACTCTTGGATCTTCGTCGGCTTATGCGAAAATAAAGCATAAAAGATAGCAGAGATCATCTCCATGGCAAGTGCCTGAACACCGCGACCGCAGAGAATATTACGTATGGCATTACCATCGCGGAGTCATAATCAGCGATACACATATGTCGATGCGTGCTGTAACGTTGAAGCGAGCACAGTACGATATATGGGTACCAGAATTCACGATAGGAATTCAGCTGTTTGGTAAAGTTACAAGAACAATATAAACAATTGTAAAGTGAGTGAGTAGAATAAAATAATAAAACCGTTTCACCTCCAAAACTTCATCATTGTGGCACGCGAACCTCCATCGCCGAAAAAGTGCGTTTTAGTTGTAAACCACAAGCTTCGGCCTTTTCCGAATCACGTTCGAAACCGGCATCGGTTGGCACGAGGTTTTACAGTTCTTCACTTCATCCAATGTTCCGGGACGGCGTTTATTTCTGCATAAAAAAAAAGCTTTACTTTCATCCTTAATTCACAACATTTTTACGACCTGGATAAAATTAAACCCTCAAAACTAGTGCCACCAATAAGATCGGTATACTATTGCTCACGTTTTTCAATAACTCATAGGGGTGTTCACTTATACACATTGTTCCGTCCAATATGGTTCCACAGTTGGGACAAAAGCAAAAGTGTTCGATTGTGTTTTCTTCTTTGTTAGCACCACCATTGCAACGCCAAGATCAGTTCCTTTGTATTCAACAGGTAGTCGTATACATTGTACCATATTCTTCACCCTGGTAGCTAAGGCTCTGGCTAGTCGATATGCCCATCGTTTGTTTGGTACATTCGCCCAAGAGCAAAGTGCGCTACCGGACATAACAATACCTTTGTTTACCAATCCTTTAGACTGCTCGCTAAGCAGACAAATATGTGTGGAGCACCACCACGCTTTCACAAAACAGTAATGTTGTTGGTATCACACGAAAGCTGCGATATTTTCTTTACCCAACGTAGTGCCATTATTTGATCTTTAATGCCAGCATTGCCGGGTACTTTCAAATTGGGATCGTCCAAACATAAGAACCCAAATGGTCCAAGTCGGTAGCAATTGTCACCGCACAATATCCTTTTGCATGAAAAGTCTGGGCTATACATGTCACGGGTAGCCTCACCTATTGAAAGCCACCCCATATATCAAACCATAACCGGTTTAGTTTCTCCGGCTTGATCTGGAAAAGTCAATAGAATATATTATAATCACATATTATCAAAATGAAAAATATTGGAAAATTAAAGTTTTTCGAAATTAAGGCAGAACTTTAAACAGACAAAGAAGGCACTGTCTGTATATGCGAACTAGTTCCTCAGTTTTAAGCTATCAATTTAAAATTTTGCGCCTACCTTTCCTCATTAAAGCTACTCACTTGTCGAAGGACGATATTTAAATAAACTGAACGATCGAATTAAATGCGTGCATGGAAAACTTTTGCATTTTACGAGATACATTCACGAAATTTGGCATAGGTTATTTATTGCCTAAGGCCTTCGAAGAAATTGTTCAGATCGGATCACTGGCATATTGCTACAAACTGGATGATCGGAATCAAGTTCTTTAAGAAACCAATTATATCTGTGAAAGTTTTTATAGCTTCGGTGCAACCGAAGTTACGTTTTTTCTTGTTGTGATTATGGTTATGACTTTTAAGTGATTTTGATTGAGTGCACTATGCTGGCTAGACATTTTTACATCTTGAAAGTTGACATAGCTTCGAAAAGAAGAGTAAAACGTTTGCCTTTAGTTTTACACTGTACTTTTATATAATATTTGGTGATAATACTATGTATGGTATGAAAAAATTTTTAGAGTAAGTAGCTGCAACTGAAATAAACGAAATACTTACACTCTTAGTAAACACATTCAAGTACAAACAATCCTCCGAACCTTTATATTTACGAAATATAACATTTGTCTGTAGGGGCTTCTCGGCGGGACCAGTACCATCTAGCACGCCCTGCCAAGACTCAGCCGGTACGGGAGCGCGAAAACGCAGTTCATCCAATGGTGGTTTCGCATAAGGTATGCGTTCAAAGCTGAAATACAAATCACCCCAAATAGTGAGACGCTTCACACCTTTCACTTCGCCTTTGGTGGTCTTGGCTACCTCATAAATTTTAGTAGTGTGTTTACTTTGTTCATATTTAAACTCGAGAGCCCTGAAACGAAAATGAAAATTGTATTTTGTGAATATTAAGCAAACGGCAAACGTTGCCGGATTATTTATTGCGATTTTAAGCAAATTACAAGTTGTTTATTATGTAAACGATGCCAAGCGGAACGTTATATATGCATACGTAGTATATTATGTTATGTATGTATGTTGAAAACTGCGGGTGCACAAAATAAATCTTCACGCATGCGCAATGCTAATCGGGTGCGTTCATATTGCAACGCTAAATACACTTAGTGAGCGTTTTAGCATTTTTATTTTTATTTTTTGCTTAATGTAATACAGTTACTATAATTATTGTTTCTGTTAGCGATCGCATATTTTGCCGGCATACACAGGTAGCTAATAACTTGTTATGCCAGCGGCTTTAAACGCAAAACTTGAACAATTACGAATAGCGGTTTCCTTATATAATCGAAAGTAAAGTAAACACTGTAAAAAATAAACAAAAGAGACGAACACAAAATATATATATAAGAGTAGCAAACAGCGGCAACAACACGTCAGCGTAACAACTTAGTTTGAAGTGTGAATCGAAACAAAACACTTCACCCTTCGTCATGCTGTCGTCGCAAATCAATTGAATCTTATTGCCTTTGTATGTATGTAGTTTTCGTTTTTTATTCACCTTCGGAATGTATTTAACGATTTTCATTGCAAAAATGCATATTGTCAATAAAAAATGTCCAGTTATATGCATTTGTCTGTAACTGCGTCGTTATTTTGTGGAATTTTACTGACCAGCAAATATTATATATATATTGTATTTAAGCGACCCAATTACTAAATTTTAAACAGCCTGGTAGAGAGTATTGCTATAATTCTTAAATTTGCTTTAACTCCTTCAGCTGCTTACCACAATTTCTGTGTTGAGTTGAAGTGCTTTGAAAGCGACCGTTCTTTTCCGCTAATAATATGGTATTGACACAGTAACATTAACACACATTAATCAAATTAATCGTATAAAGATTGAACAACGAATGAATTTCGCATGAAAATTGTGATTTCTAAGAGTATGGTAATTTGGTCAGAGTTTCAGATTGGTGTAGTTTCTGTTTATTTGGAAATACACAGCATGCGAAGTACGATATACAATTTTTGGGATTGAAAATAAACGATATGATTTTAGATCCTTAGTAACTCAGCAAAATTATGCATCATGTCCCACAATTTATATCACAGTTGTTGTTATGGTGTGTAAGTTAAGCTCGGTATTAACGATGTCATGACAATACTCTTTGACAGCTGTGATTTGACGCTGTCAGAATTTTTATCGGGTTGCCGTATATGTCCTATGGTTCAGTAATAACCCACATATCAATCAGTAGATGGTGTAAACTATCACAAAAGTAATGAAAAGCTGCTCATTTGTCGGGACCACCGATATCTGACCAATATAGCATATGGCTGCCATATAAACTGAACGATCAAAATCAAATTCTTGTAAGAAAACTTTTTTATTTGACGAAATAACTTCACGAATTTCGGCATGAATTATTTTCTAATACACACCTACAACATTTGGAAAAATTTTTCAGATCGGACCACTATAGCATATAGCTGCCATATACACTGAACGATCAAAATCAAATTTTTTGTAAAGAAACTTTTTTTATTTGTGAAGCGTATTCTAGCTTCGATACAACCGAAGTTACCGTTTTCTCTTGTTTTTCTTTTAATTTAAATTTGCAATATATTCAAGTTAAAGTCGCAAATAGAACAGTCTTCTTATAATGTATGCTCACCGCTAGCTCTATAAATGTATTTAGTGCTTCAAAGTTCACAGCATCGCATGAGTAATTCCAAATTATTTGTCAGCAATTTAAATGTTAATCAAATAGTAGCGATTGTAAAAGTTCATACAAAATTTCTCGCATCGCAGATAATATTATATACAACATAATACTGACGATTTAATCACTATTTGTTAGATAAGGTGATAATTATATGTATTATATATAATAAAGTATGGCATAGAATTGGAAATTAAATTTGATGGAGAGATAACCAATCGGAATTCACAAGACGGACTTTGTATGTTGTTTCTCACTTTGAACTTGACTTCAACAAATCAAGTTTGACAATTATTCTAATCATAACACCTGGCTTCGTAACGTTCTCCTGAGCACACGCTCAATACTTAACTTTAAGAAGGCGTAATAAATAATAAACGCAATAAAGGAATATTAAAGTTTATTAAAAATAATATAGCGCTAATTATGACACCAAGTAGCAGGTAAATAATATTATGAAATTAATATACACTGTTTAAACTAGTTTGTTGAGTTCTTTGTAAGCATTTCTTTCAAAGTATAACGAATCTGTCGTAGTTCCTTCGACAGAAATGCAAGTAATGTGTCCTAAGTTATTTTTTTACTCTGGAAATGATTTATTGACTCCACTTAAGAGCTTGAATAGCAAGTTAGTTATAATGTTCAAAGTTACCTGATACAAAAATATTACTAAAAAATTATTTTACTTGACTCGTTCTGTTACTTTTAATTTTTCTCAAAGTGACGTACTTCCTATCTCACTAAACTTAAGCTATAAATACTTAGCTTAACAAAAACTTACAATTTATTAAACACTTTACTGGCAGTCAACAATTAAATTTAAGTGACTATAATGACTGGTAATTGAAATCTTAACAAAAAGAGTTATTGTTGCATATATATATAAATATGAAACTGTTTTTGTTATTAAATAGCACTTAGTTATTTTCTACGACACAGCCGTAAATTTAAATTAGAATGCCAAGTGGTAAGAAATAATTATTAAACGGTTTCGGTCAAAGAATATTGAAGAAAATTTTAAAGAACTCGAAAATATTAGATGAATGAAAAAAGATTATTTATACTTGTATTTTATATTATTTTAAACAAAATTTTATTGGAATTATTCTTAATTGCTATGTTTTGTTTTAATGGATTGAGAGCGGGAACCAGATAGATCGCAGGAAATCGATCAAGCTTCCGAAATACTGTGGTATCTTCCAGGCGAAAGTCTTTGCGGTCAGAAAAGTATCTGAGATAGCTAACCACGCAGGAAATAATATAACGCAGATTAATATATACGTCGATAGGCTGGCGGCAATTGAGGCAATAATCTCACATCGCATTACGACAGAGAATGTCTTTAGAATCAGGGAGGCAGTAAATGAAGTGCCTGCCGTAAAGCGGAGAGATCGCTAAAAGTGCCAGCCATCTTTATGCCGAACCAGTACAGGAAATACGGAATTCACTAAAAACAATATAAATTACCAAGGGTTCAGGTTTTGTACTCACATGGTCTCGAAACAACTGTACGAAGGTTTTTGGCCTAATGACAGGTCACGACAAGTTACGATGATATATGCAGATAGTGCAGGAGTAAGCATGATAGGACACTTCCTTTGCCATATCTGTCATTATATTGTAACCAGTTTTATCTAGAACTCGTTTAAGATATCTAAGAGCTTCGCAGTTCAAAGTACTCGATGAAGTGTCAAAATTAGATATCAAGTGGCTTTTAAAGTTCGCAAGCCTTGAGGTCATGCAAGACGAATAGTACAAGTCATATTAAACTGAATCTCTATTTGGCATTACTACGGATCAGCAGGTCTATGTATGACAGCCGGCCAGTATAATCTTACCTAACTTAAACTTCATTTTAAGCCATCAAAGTCTGAACTTGAAAAGTGGTTCTTTGGCCAACTGGTATAAATTGAAAAGTCTATTGTAAGCAAAAGTGACAAAACGGGATAGACACTCTTCTGTTTAATGAGATATGAGCTAGCTTTAGGCAACCAAGAGCTTCAGCAGAGATGATACATACTAGTATAAACTAATTGACATAGAATATTAAGCGATTATACCAGTTTATTTTATAAATACTTATAGTATATTAAAATTAATTCAACTGGAAAACATTGCTGTAAATTTTACAAGATACTAAGCAACTCAAACTTAGCGAGTTGAAAAGTGTTGAATTGAAAATGTTTTTTTTCTGGTTTCCTGCATTAAGCAATTCTAATTGAACTGTTATATGAATTTATGGCTTCAAATAACTACACACGTGCTGGTTATAATATTTACACTACAAAAATAACTTTAGCAATAATTAAATTACCCAATACAAATGCGTTTGCCAGACTAACGCAGGTATATAATTTGAGGAAAACCAATAGCAATATATGCCACTTGATAATAAATTCATATAAATATATTTATAAGTGTATATTATATTACTTAATTACTACAATCAAATTCAATTATACACAACACCAGCCCAACAAGTATAAAAAACTCTACATACATTAAATTATAATAAATGTAAAATCTAAGTTTACAGTTAAATAAGTTATTTGTTCGCCGTAAGTAATGCCCAGTGGTATTGTAGTAATTACAGCAAATGTAGCTTTATAAAAACTTTGTACCACATGGGTATGTATGTACATAGGTACATTGTATTAATAAAACAAATGGAAATTTATTGCGAGCGCTGGCGTCAAACACATTTCTTTTCGCGTGTAAATTTGTATAGGCATACTTAAGTGGTTACAAATATTTATACTACTCACACGAAACATGTCGACTTGTACAATAATATACGCGTTGGCGTCTGTGCATGACAAAAAACGTGAGTTTCGCAAAAGTGGGCAAAAGTTGTGAATCATTGAATTTAAAGCAAGTTGACTTTTGAGTTTATGTGTACGCGATTGTCGCTCTGAATAACTGTTGATTGCCATAGTCGTGTGCGCTGAGTATGTGGCTATCGTTTTAGAGTAGAGTGGGCTTAACCTTTGTCTGGGAAAACCGTCTATACAACCGAGTAAATTACGGACATGCAAAGACAGCTCAGAAAACTAGTAGCTATCTCAATTTTATGAATAATTTTAAGTCGTATATACCCAAAAGCTAGGGTGAAGTGTTACTAATAAATAAAATATCAGATTCCACGGTATGCTGAGCGCCACCAAGCAGAAAATTATCATATTTTAAAGCATCTTGTGATCACTAAAGATTTGTGATCTATTTTATATATTTATCGCCTTACTACATACATAGTATATGCGGTCGCATTATGCCAAATTCAATGACAGTTGTAGTCCACTGCAAACGATTCTCTTCATTAAGCTAGTTTAATATTAGTTACTAATAACTCTCCTGAAGATAAATTGACAACCCTATGAAGCAATTCAAATTTGTGCTTACCATTCAAGTTAAAGCTAAATACCACCATATTTAAATTGACAGCTTGTTGGCATTTGAAACAATGTGCTTGTCAGTTTAACGTCATTGAATTTGTCATAACGAAAACAGCATATGCGTCTTAGTAGCGAAATATTTTATGCCAAGCGGCATGAATGAAATATCATATATATGATTCAGAAATGAGCTTAATGGAACAGTGCATATGATTTATAAAAAACAAAAAATAAAAATAAAATAAGATAGAATAAATCTTTGAGCTATATATTATAATAAATGGTTTTAAGAATTGTTTCAACTAAAGATTTTTAAATAACCCCTTTGCATATATTTTTGAGACGATTTTTAAAAAATTTAATACGCATAGAGAACCACTACTGATTTTCACGCTTTACCAATACACATGTGTTTCTTTTTTAACAGTTGTATTTTTCCCTCTCTTTAAAAATCACGCAAATTAATCTATCCAACCTGTTGTTTGCAAAATAAAGTTCGAAACTGCACAAGACCGCTGCAAAATCTATTTTACTATCTAATTTTAATCTTATCAGCTAATAAATTTGTTAACAGTTGCGTTATATTCCTGTATATTCGTAAGACGCTAGTCTGATAAAGCTACTTAGCTGTTCAGCAATTTGGTCGGCAGTACTAGCCATATTTACTAGATGTTGAACTATTGTAGAGCTTACAGATATTGTTATCAGTTTTTGTTATCAAATTTAAAAAAGATGACGTGCGGTTTTTAATCAGACAATACTTATTTCGGAGTTAGTCTTTTGGACAGCTGTTATTTGACTTGTGAGCATACTCAGTTTATCAGACTTACTCCGGAACAACGTTCGGTAAATGAACCAAAAACGAAATGGTCACCGATCGAGTTGAAATTTTTGTTCAGCGATGAAGCTCTCTATTTTGGGTACCCTTATAAACAAACTTGTCGTATTTGGAGTAATGATACTCCACAAGCCACTGTTTGAGACACCGTTACATCCTAAATAAGTCAGTACGTTTAGTAAAATAACGTTAAACTTGTAAGAGCGCTAAATAGTTTTACATTTCACATATTATCACTACAGCTGCCCATTGTCGTCGGCGAAATTAGAAATTGTTTCAATTTGGCGACAGCGATAACTGCATGCCTGCTGCCGTAAATTCGCTGCTGTTATCAAAAATCAAATGTGCCCATAAGAACGTGTTTATTTTAATATTTGACAGATGCTGCCCGTTGTCCGCCGTTTTCATCGTGTTTCATGCATAACAGTTAATGGGCAACGATATAGAGCCATGATTATTGACCTTTTCGTGCCTTAATTAGAGGATGTTGATGTGGACGAACTTTGACTCCCCCAAAACGTCGCTACATGACGATTGCCGCTTTGAAATGGAATATTCGGCGAATTATTGCTGGCATACGGCCTTAATTGCTGCAAAAAGCGGTCGAAAATTGGTTCTCTCGCTTGGAATTTATTCGAGCCAACCGCGGCGATACTATTAAATTTTTAATGGCGAATTCTGATATTTATAATAAAGTTAAATTCTTGGTGTTATATTTCTTCTTGAGAACCACATGTTTAAAAAACACCCTTTATGTACAATATATTTTTTATAACTTCGTGGTATTTTAACTTTTTTTGTTACAAAATATTATACTTATCAAAGAACTCTCACATATCAAGTTGATTGAATAATTTTGAACTCTAAAACGTTGCAAGAGTTTCTGATTAGAATTTAATTTAGGTAAAATTCACCGTAAAGTTGATTGTTAAGTTCCATCAAAGCACAATAAAAGCTCACTGACTGGTCAGATTGCTTCTATGTTCTCAAACATTCCCGTACATTTTCAAAATGCTGCTGATATTGCATAAATTGCATAGTTCATTATACTTTAATCTCACCATTTAAGTCATAAAGTTATTTGCAAAAATTTTTGTTTTAAAATTGGTTTCTATGTAAATTTATTTACATAGAGTTATTTGAAATTTGTAAAACTTTCATAAAACTAAGGTTATATGAACTAAATGAAGAATTTGAGTGCAAACATTAACTGAAGTATAATACTTTGATCAAAATCGTATATAACCCTAGTACATTCAACTACACATACTTTCCATACATATAAACAAAAATATACGTAATTTCGCACACGAAATAAGCCAACTTATGGAAAGTTTGAGCTTACTTAAATAAACAGCAACATTTTGAAACGGCACGCTAGCAAATTATTACAAAATCAAAAACAATGTAATTTGCCACCTGCCATCAGCAGCGACCGCCCCGTGTCAGCATGGTCGCTTGCGGTCATTGTGCAAATTTTCTTGTTTCGAGCGGATGTGCGCAAAATATATATGATACATATACATACGCATGTACAAATGTGTATACGCATATTTTTATTCAGCTAACTTTTCATAACGGTAATATGTTTAGCGAATTTCGTTCGCTTGTTTGTATATGTGAAAGTATTATGTATGTACATAATTAGATGCACATATACTCGTACTCCTATATTTAAGTATTCAGTATAAATGGTAAATATGTATTTGTAATGCTTATTGAACTCACTTAAAGGTCAGCTTTAGCATATCCATAAATGAGAGCGAGCTCATTTTGTACGCGTTTATTAAACACTTTGGCTCAAACTTTTGGCGAAAAACTTTAAAAAATTGTTTATGCAAAAAACTATTTTTCATTTATTTAATTTAACACAGCAGATGGGTTTAATCGGCCGCACTTTGTATCGCTGTAATTACAGTTTGATTACTAATGCTATTTGAAGAATTTTTGATAAAGTTTATCAAGATGCATTAAAACTCATATACATAGGTATATGCATATGTATATATGTTTTATGTATATATATAAGCGTACTCAGTTAGCGTAAAAACAGCGCACGCTCCACACAAATTATCTACACATACATATGTTCACGTTATATGTAAACAACAACAGAAAAGCACAAATTGCTGAATCACTTCATTACAAAACCGACAATGTTACCAAAAGCGTCTAAAAGCCAGCGGCTTTGTCCAAAAAGTTGGTAAGTGTGCCAGCGCTTCACAATCAAATGGAAATCTACTAACAAACTGGTTGTACTATATATACCATATGTATATACAGAGTTGTTATTGTTTATTGTTAGTTGTAGCAAGCGTTTTTGTTCTCTGTTTCTTATTGAAAAGACTATCGCCAAAAGTATTTAAAGTAATTAGTAACTTAAGTGTATAGTAAAAATACAACTTCTTCGCTACAATTGAAATAGGTAAATGGAAATCACAAATAACCACTTCAAATTGTACAAAAAATGACTTTCGTTTATACAATGCGCGAAACCAGCTAACGCTATATACGACTGAATTGTGACTAAAGCAAAGCGATCGCTATATGTTTAATGAAGGCCGTGAGATCCCTGACAGTTGCATTAAAGCGCCCACCGCATACAATGGTTAGCGAAGCGTTAATGCACTTCTTGCAATAAAAGAGTGTAAATCACAGCTGAGCACTTAGATTTAACAGCTGGTGCTGCTCTCTTTCTCACTCACTTTCTCTCTCTCTCTCTCTATATATATCTCACTTATTTCTCGCTAGCTTATATACACTCGTTGTTGTTTTTTGCGTTTTGCTCGGCGATCAAGCCGGTTGGCATTTATGGAGGAAATATTTTATATAGTAAACGGTTTCAGGTGGCAACTTTAATGTGAATGGATCTCATATAAAAGCTTCAAAAGCTTTTTTTTATTAAGTGGCGTTCACAATTCGTACTCTACAAAACAACTGAATGACTTTTACAGTTGGCAACATTTATAGTACATTTCATTTACCCAGGAATCTCAGAGGAGTTATCTTCGGTCGGCCGGTTAAATTTTACCGTGAACAACAATTCGAATAAAATGCAGATTTTCGGCAATAAAAATTATTAAGACCCTTTGTTTTAATTCAATGATATAGACACTAAGTCTAGAGAATCCCGATTTTACCTCCATTCACGTAGGACACCTCATGATTTGACCTCTCGGGTTTCCAGTTGTCAAAATTTTATAATCTTTCTACATGTTGCTACAGAGTATAATAGTTTTTTTTACCTAACGATTGATCGATATAGGGTTATGTATATATAAATGATCAGGACGAAAAGACGAGTTGAAATCCAGGTGACTATCTGTCTGTCTGTCCGTCGATCCGTCTGTCTATACAAGCTGTAACCTGAGTAAATTATTTATAATAAATAATAAATAAAATAAATAAATAATAAGTAATTAAAATATCTTAATGAAACTGGGTACACGTGTAAGGACGAGTTCTTAGTTGGGCGTAATCGGAACATTGCCACGCCTGCAAGACGCCATTAAACAAAATTCTATAATGTGCCATAACTATGCACTTAATTATGATTTGGAACTGTAGTTCGGCACAGGTGATTGCGTAGCAAAGAGCACCTGTTTCTAATTTTAAAAAAATGGGCGTGGCCCCGCTCTCTAAAAAGTTTAATGCACTTATCTCCCAAACCATTCTAACTAAAATAACCAAATTCGCTCTGTGTCTGTATGTCTAAAATTTAAAAAAAAAACTCTTGACCAAAAACACTGTAACGATGTACCAGCTTCATCACGTTTGTTGAAGTTGAGTATTAACATAACAAAGTAGCTAGATTTTTCACTCAAAATTATGTTTTAAATACTCATTTCAATGAAAAGTTTGGTAAGTAGAAGCAGCCTACAATCCTTCCTACCGGATCGGTTCGTGAACTTTTTAATATATCAAATTTCGAGGAGAGGGTTTCTATCAAGTCATGCTGTGGTTGAGTCCATATAGCCAAGTCTGTCTGTCTGTTCGCCTGTATATACCCGAAATAGTTCCAACTTTTAAGATATCGATCTGAACTTTTTTACACGTCTTTTTCTGACCAAGAAGCTGCTCATTTGTTAAAACCGCCGATATCGGATCACAATAGCATATAGGTGCCATAAAAACTGAACAAGTGCTTGTTATACGGATTATAGCCTAAGGCAACGGTGCAATCTCCGAAGAAATTATTCAGATCGCATCACTATATCATAGCACAAACTGACCGATCAAAATAAAGTCTTGTAAGGAAGATTTTATATTTGTGAAGGGTATTATAGTTTCGGCCCAACTGAAGTTTACGTTTTTCCTGAATTTTTGCTGTAATTGGATGATAAGTTCTCTAATATATATCATATTTTTGCAAATAAATGGGCATTTCTTACCTTCAGACCTTAAAACTCGACATTTGACAAGCTGTTCATGACATTCTTTAATTTATTGTTGTAAAAATTAAGATACTAGATGTAATGATCGAGAAGAGTAAACTAAAATATTTTTTACTACTCATTGCACTCACTCACTTCCCTTAACGTCTATTGTGACAAAAATAGTTTCGAAGCTTTAGACAATGGGCACCACTCATATTCATTATTTCTGATTGCAATCAGTTTAATTTATAAATTAAATTTAATTGTTAAATTCAACAATTAATTACCACAATTGAATAATATTTTATTAATTTCATAATTCGTAAACTTATTTGCACGAAAAACAAAAATTAATTGCATTAAGATAATTACATACCTATTTCAAGGTCTTTGTTTTTTTTATTTTTTATTTGTATAAAATAAAATTTCAAACATTAGCTTTATTTGAGCGTGAAATTGTAATATTGTTAAAGCTTTTTTTATAACTCGCTTTGTACAATTCTAAATGTTTAAATTTGTATGCAAAACTATGTCCTATATTTTGACTTTTTTACAGCTTGTGGTTAGATAATTACGAAAATTATGCAAATACGGAGCACATTTGATGAAAAACTGGTGAAAACAATAATGAATTGTTGTTAATTACACACCAATTACTGTAAGTCTTCATACAATTCATGTTCTTTGATATTGTAAATACTTATATATAAATATTGTAACAGAAATATGATTTCGGAAAAGTATCTTATTAAAAAAACCAGAATAATCATTAACTTCGGTTGCACTAAAGCTCAAAAGCCTTGACAAATAAAAAAGTTTCCATACAAGAACTTGACTTTGATCGATCGGTTTGTATGGCAACTAAATACTATTGTTATCTGATCTGAACAATATCTCCGGATATAACATTGTTGCCTTAGACAATGACTCGTGCCTAATTTTGTGAAGAAATCTCGTCAAATGAAAGAGTTTTCCATACAAGCACTTGATTACGACCGTTCAGTTAATATGCATTTATATGCTTTAGACATTCGATCTAAAAGATGTATTCGGAAATTGTAGTAATGCTTTGAAAAATAAGCCATGTCAAATTTTGTTAAGATATCTTCCCAGATAAAAAAATTTTCCATACTCCCTAACCCTAAGATCGAGTTAACATCCTTATCGCAATGTAATATAATTTCTAGCATAACTATTAAACATAATGTACCGTTACGTTCTGTTTTCAATAAAAATATAATTATTTTATAATTAAAAGAAGTTTTTTCCTTCGAGCCGGATTTGAACCAGCGACCTATGGATGTCTACTTAGCGATTATCTTTCTACAGTCCACCGCTCTACCAACTGAGCTATCGAAGGCTATATGTTTTCGCTGATTTATGTTGTCTATGCATATATTTGTTTGTGTCAACATATATGTATTTGGTGTTAATTGATCTGCTGTTTGCTTAGGTATTTCTTATCGTTTGCGAAGATTTGATGATGTTGAACTTGGAGTTTCTTCGCTATCTACGCGCGTATTTATTTTATACATAAATATATGTATAAATGGTAAATGTTCAGTGCATATCAGCACGATTTGTAATTTAATGCCACTGCGAATATACAACAGAAGATCGATATAGTCTTAAGATTTTTATACCTACGCAATATGTTGCTGCAGAGTGTTTGTTCATCTAACAATCGTTTGGAATACCTATAACTTATAGAGATAGATATATAGTTGAATATACCTATATGAAGGCTTAGGACGATGAGACACGTTTAATACTAAATATTTTGAGAAGAAGTTTTTTCAACACCTTCTTATACTGTGTGAAAATAGATGAAATCGGTTCGTAACCACGCCCATTTCCCATATAATGGTTATGTTGAAAACAACTGAAAGTGCAATACCTCACTAAATAAATACATCAGCAACATTAAATTTTATATTCATGATGGTGCGCGAGGGTTGCATAAGACTCAATAAAATAATTGGAAAGTAGGCGAGGGAAGGTAAAAGTAGGCACCGCCCACTTTTTGGTGGAATTGAGTATTTCATAAGCTACTGCAGCAATATTAACTAAATTGATAAAGTAAACGTGTAAAAATGGGCGAAATCGAGATAAACCAAAAATATCGGTCAATCTCTGAAATATATTAATTAATTTCAGCGAGTATCTTTTTCTAATAATAGTGTGTCTTTGTGTAAATAATAAGTAGAATCGGTTCAATAGTTTCCCTAATTCACACAAATCTTATACACAAATTTTCGAATTTCTGGTTGATCACGAAAACACTTCAAAACTTGTTTTGATCTTTGGAATTCGAAAAAGGCTACTTATGTTTTTAACGGATTTGTCAAAAGGGTAATTTTTTTATTTTGATTATAAAAACGTTTGACAATAATAACAGAAAAATCATAAGTAGTTTTAGTAGTATTGCACATACTCCATAAACTCCGATTACTGTCGTCGTCCAATTTGTGAAAAATACAGTTTCGAAAAAAGCGTGTTGCTGAAGCTCGCTTCCCTGAACGCTTCAACACCCCACAGCGAATTGGACCTGAAAACATTTTTCGTAACATTGCAGCCAAATGAATAAATGTTCCGCACGCAGCAGGAATATTCTTCCGGAAAAAGAACAATAATTTCCATAAAAAAATTTCCTTTTTGTTAAATTTGGAAGCAATGACGATTCTACATACATCTGCGCACCATCTGGCTTCGCTTTATTTTCACTTCTTTATTAGTTGTGCGCGTAAACATTTTTCAGATACTAATATGAGCTAATTAAGCTGAGTTTATTTTTTCCGAATTAAAAGACCATCACTCATACATTATATTGATTTTAGACAAATAAAGAATCTGCAACTTATTATTGTTCGAATTTGTCTCGTGAGTTTTCCAGATTTGTGGGATTATATATGTATATATATATTAGGGCAAATCAAAAAAAAAAATTTTTTTCGCTTTCTAAGAATATCTCTCCAAGTATGAGCTCTTAATTTTAACGAAAATGTCCGCTGCCCCACATTTTTATTTGTTTTTTATTATCTGATAAAAAAAAAATAATATCTCGCTTTCACATTTTTCCATTTGTTTCTTATTATCTGATAAAAAAAAAATAATATCTCGCTTTCAACTACAATACCTTAAAATATAGCATGCAGGAAATTAAATGCTGCTTTAAAAAGGTGTCCTACGATTTTTTTGTAAACCTAACAGTTTTAAAGATATTAACGGTTGAATTTGATTTATGTTAAAGCAAATTAATTTTTTTCTCGTGAATTTTACAACTCAGTGAAAAAAAAATCATTATAAATCGGAAAGCTCATAGTTTATAGGAAATTTACTGCTTTACAAAATGGTCTCTTATATTTTTCCTTATCTTTATTGGTGTTAAAATATGAAAATAAGCTCCGTCCCTCATTTAACGTCTTTCAGCTGTTGTAATTATATGTAAAGGTTTTAATGGATGTTATCGTAAGTTACGCAGATATTAAGTCACACGTAAGTAGGTCTAGTAAACGTTTATACTTCCCTTAACCACCACGTAACCTAGTAAAATCTTTGATCGCAGAAAGTAGGCGTACTAGAATGCAATCTACATGAATTTCATGACAGAAATTATATTTCCTTGGAGAATAAAACAGTCTATAAATTGGCGAAATAAAATAATATTTTCTTGCTTGTGAGAAGTATATTTTTAGTTGTTCTCTCCAACATTTATAACATTTGAATGTATTACATTTATAGTAAAATATTTTTAATAATTATTAGAATCACAATCCATTTAGTTTTAACGGTATGCTTGTCCGTAGTAATAAGCGTTGTAAAAATATTTCAAAATATACAAAATTACACAGATATCTTCTGGAGTACTTTTAAAAAAATACACATTTAAGACGGTTTAATTTCAAAACCTCTGACAATTAAATGTGCTTATTTTTATTTGTAACTATTATTTAATTTTATTCACTTAATTTAAATATACATTAACATACATATCTTATAAAGGAAGCTTTTTGCACATGGAATTTGTATGTTTGTTTGTATTTAGTTAGTGTGATCAGCGACACAACCTTTTCCTGAATAAAATTTCTAGCCTTCTGTAAGTTAAGGTTCGTATTGTAGACACCCAAGTTGTAGGCTTAGTTATATGAGATGTACATTTGAGCTAGAAGACAGTCCATAAGTTTGGGTGGCTAGCAATGTAAATTTAAAATTTTGATTTATTTCTTCTTCCGTTGCATTGTTGTAGAGTTGCCATTTTTTTTCCGGTTAGTTGACTCTAAAAATCACATTTTGTTCATTACATATAATGTCACATTTTCATAAAAAGGTACTTTTGTTTTGAGTTACCTAGGTACATATGTAATTAACTGGCATTTAAGTTTTTGCAAATATATTTTAAATATACATTTTCTTCTATTTCCGGTGACATTTCAAGTTTATAGTTTGCTTTATTATTATTACTTTTATTGTTTGTGTTTTTTTCTCGTAATTTTTCAAGTAAATATAACGTTGAAAATCCTTGTTCATAGAACCCTGTGAAACTTTATATACGAGCTTTTATTGTATAAAAATTAGAAACAAGACAAACACTAAAAAATTGTTGTTTTCCCTCAAACTTTGTTCGCTTTAATCCGGTAAAAATTATTTTTCATTTGTAAAATAAAAATTAGCTACTAAATAACATTTTTGAGTTCTAAAACGTCTTTTTGAAAAGCTCCTTAGCTTTCAAAAATATTTTACACTTTCAAAGCGATACAAATAACACGCATGGATGAAAGCTCTAAAAGCTCTAAAAGCTCTGAAAGCTTCGTAACTTTTCAATTTGGAGGACTGTAAAAAATACGTTTGCTGCATTGTAACTACCATAATATTATTTGTATCATTTTATTTTAAATACAAGTATGTCTGTGAAATGAAATGTGATCGAATTTAATGTAAAATATGTTGTTACGAATTATATGCATTCAAAGCTTCAGGTATAATGCAATATGTGCACAAGCTTTTAGCTAATATTTAAACATTTGTTAGTTTTACTCACTGTTTTGATGTTTAATAAAGATTTAAAGCTTTTACTGAAACAATTTTGCTGGCAAAATTATTAAAAATATCGTGAATTTGCAAAAATTTCTGTTGTTGAGTTTCACTTAAATGTTTATATTTACAAAAGTTACAAAAAATAACTTTAGATGCTCTAAAATATGAACTTCGAAGCAATATTCAAGACGTTCTTATTTTTATAAACTATTTCAAAATATATGTTACAGTTAGAATACATCAGTTTTCAGTTTATATTGATAACATTTACAAAATTGGTGGTACATTTGTAGCGTCAATTTTAACAGTTTTTTTAGCGTTTTGTATGTTACGATAAAAATGTTTTATATTAGCAAGCTTAGGCTTTGTCTTTCGTAAGTTGCTTAAGGAAACAGCTTTTATTTTAATAACATTTATCTAGATCTATAAAACTATAATTATTTGATATAATACATTGTCTTTAATGTTAGCAACACTTACTGCAAGCTCTTAAGATATGTTGATCTTATATACTGGCTTACTACAAGTATAGAAAAGTTACTTAAATGCTTTCAAGCTCTATAAAAATTTACAAAGAAAACAAAAACTTCTCATAACAAATTGGCCTTTTACGCTTCGTCTTTGAAATTGAATTCTTTGCTAACACTACAAACATTTGATTTGGCAACACAAATCCTTTATGAAAAGTGTCTGTTAAAAAAGGTTCAGAATAAGTTAAGTATGTCTCCAAAGCCATTAATTAAGCCATTGTCTCCAGTATTCATATAAGCTGATCAGGACTGTAGAAGTTCTCCCAAACTAACAATTTTTTTAACTCTGGCACATCGATCTCTTTCAATTCATCGGATATATTAAGGCACTTTAATTGTCGTTTCTCCACAGCGGCTTTCGATACTGGTTGCCATAAGTCAGCATGTTCTGAATCATAGTTGGGATCCGAGTGCGCGGCAAAGTGTGTCCACATACCCACAAGCTGTTCAATGCATTTGTACTCACGTGTATGATTTTTCAGCTTACGCGCAACAGAATTATAAAATAAATAGGAGAGATCATCGCCGTGACATGTGCCGCGTACCTTCTTACCACAGCTGAGTATACGCAGGTGATTGAAATGCTTCGAATCGAAATCGAAACGATACAAATAGGTGGGGGCTGTGGCGTAAGTCATACGCGACAATACTGAGCGATAGATGGGAAACCAAAAGTATTCATGTGAAACCATCTGTGTAAAGTATTGAGAATAAGTAGAAATTAAATAAATTTTCCAAGTCGTGTTATTTAATATTTGTTTAACTTACCAATAGATACTCGTGTAAAGTTTCTAAACTGGGCTCTTTATCGCCATAATACGCTTGTCTCAATTGCATGCCGTATTCTTTGCACAATTCGCTTTCACGATCCATGCCGAGTTCGAGTGGTATCACAAAGCGACAGTCGCCGAGTTCATTAAGTAGTTTGGGATTAGTTTTCGTTTCTATAATATATAATTAATGCAACGCCATATAGTTTTAAAATAATTGAAACACAAAACGTTGCAGCTTACCCGAATATAACAATAATCCTTCATTCGACACGCCACCAATAATCATCGGTATATGATTACTCCATGCAGTACGCATCATTTCAATTGGTTTTCTATGCACCACACAATGAGCTGTGACATACGGCTCGATTACTGGGCCAAAGGAAAATCCAATACGTTCACGTTTCTCTTCGTCGGAACATAAGTCTTCATTAGCCTTAACTATATCGGCACCTCTTGCTTTGCGTAAGAAAGCAAAAGTCTCCTGGTCAATATCTTCTCCCGTATAACCAGCAGCCACAGCTAGGCGATATGGCCAATTGTGTTGTGGCGTAACTGCCCATGGCGATAATGTATTGCCAGACATAGAGATCGCTTTGTGAAATAGTCCCCGCGTTTGATCGGTGATCATCATGTAATGTACCGATGCACCGCCGGCGCTATCTCCAAAAATTGTTATATTATTGCTATCGCCACCGAAACGTTCGCAATTTGCTTTAACCCAACGTAGTGCCATCACTTGGTCTTTGAGACCGGCATTGCCAGGCACATCGAAAGCGGGATTATCCATGCAAAGAAAGCCTGAGAAAGGTAAAAAGAGAACTATAAACTATCGAGTATATATACAACTATAAAGCTTTTGCTTAAACAATGTCTTACCGAAGGGTCCTAGCCGGTAGGTTATTGAAATAATGACAACATCTTCGCGCAACAAATAGTCCGGACTATAAAGTTCACGTGAAGCTTCACCAAACTGAAAGCCGCCACCATAAATCCACACCATGACCGGCCTAAGTTTATCCGGACTTAACTACAAAACAAATGAAATCTTACTTATGATATTATAACTAAGTAGTAAAATATAATAGACTTACATTCTTTGAATAAACATTTAGGTAGAGACAATCCTCTGAGCCATCTGTCATTTGGAATACAAAATGTTTTTGTAGTGGCTTGGGACCACGCGACGTACAACTTTTCACTTCTATCCAAGGTTCTGGCGGCTGTGGTGCTTTGTAGCGTAGCTCACCCACTGGTGGCTTGGCAAAGGGTATTTTTTCGAAACTATAATATGAATCACCATATATGGACTTACGTTTAACACCTTTCACGGGTCCATATATGGTGCTGACAATTGTTTTTTCATTGGTGCGAAAGCGTCGCTGTTGTACTTTGAAGTCGACCATTCTATAGCGCAGAGGAGCAAGATAGAAAATGAAAGAGAATATCATTAAATAAAATGTTGCATTAACTACTTGAGTTACTAAGGAAATATTTCATTACTAGTAGTTGTAATGTATGAGATAACATATATATAATATGTATAATTTTCAATAAAAAAGTGTATGCTAAAGTTATATAATATTAAATACTGAAACAAGCTTGTCTGCAGAAGAAACCTTTCAGTCATAATCAACGCCTAAAGCGGCTGGGACATAAGATGTTCGAGCGTTTGATAAAACCAGACTGAGCGTATTGCTTTTGAAAATGTTTTTATATTAAATACCTATTTCTAATCTATTTTGAAATAAAATCGCTTAAATAAGACATAATCTTACAGGTAACCGGTGCCGACCCTGTGACTATATAATTTATTATAGTTTTTTTTATTTATTTTATTATTATTATAAAACGTGATTTTATGACTAAGTTTGATCGGTATAGGAGGCATGGAAAAAGTATTTTTATATCTTCTCATAATTATATATTTATATATAATTATATATCTCTTATATAATGCGTTATAAAAATTTCTTTTCCTGCTGTTGTACCGCACAAAAATCAATCATTCAAGTATTGTTTTAAAGAAGAGCAATTGCTGCATGTGACTAAATAACATTATCTGCGCATTTAACGGTAAGTTATGTAAAAGCGTAGATAAGGGTGCGCAGAAAAGCATAAAGAAAACATTTTATGTTTATACAAAAAAAAATGTATTCAAATTCAAACATTTTTCGTTTATGTTATGTCAACATACTAAATATACCAAAATAATGCTGATGATTCATCATATCGCTGTAATTTTCTGTTATCGCCAACCCTTTATCAACGCCAATTCCCCCAAAAGGAACTTAATATAATCAGACGGGTCAGCAGAAAATCGTCATTCATCAAACTGGTATTTAATATTGATTCTTAAAGGCTTGAAAGTGTATTCATAATAGAATAGTCTAGAGGTCTAAACGATATTGATACGCGCTTCTAATTTCCCGGACATTCCTATGCAAATTATGCAGATAAGTACAACCAAAAATTTGTAAGTACTTGTTATCAAAGTGTTTGATGTTTCTGCTAGCACACGTAACTGTACACAAAATTAAGCTCATAAATTGCTGCTTTGATTTCAGCTGACACATTTAGCGTTAGATAAACAAACATAATATTTTACTTTGACATAGTTGATAAAGTAAAAAAATTATGAATATTATATTTTTTATCGGAATATAATGCGTAGTTCTACCTACATATAGCTCTGAAAATGTGTGAATTTTTGCACTTGGAACCCATCGTAATCGATTAATTTCCGCTCTGAGTAGTTCCCACTATTATGAAATGATTTGCATTGAAACCGGTATAACAACACGTTGTTAATGAAATACTGTAAAATAAATGCGCCAATATGTAGGCAACATATGCCATGCTCTTTCTTAGCATACATAACTTACAACACTATAAATGATATTGAGAACGGAACCTTGTATATTGTGTATTATTTTTGTTGCGTGAGTTCTTAGCATTCAAGTTCCTACAAAATCTATGAAACAAGATATTTCTTCAATTAGTTGGAAGCTAGATATGATTTTTTTATATAAAAATTTGTAATAAGAAAAAAATGTAAGGCGGAGGATCTTCCCGTTACATTTAAGAGCTCATACTTGGAGATATTTCCTTTGAGTTGTATAAGAACTTATTTTTCAGAAAGCGAAAAAAAATGTTTGTTTTTACCCACCCTAGTGGTTACACAGAAGATTGATTTCGAAACCATTAGGAGTATTTTCTTATCAATTATGGAAACACGGACTTTTTAAAACATGACATTCGACATTTGACTATTCAAGGGAATTCACCTGATACAAAAAAATTAATAATTGTAAGCTCTGAAATTTCCAAAATCATTAGAAAAGTTCTTTCGAAAAATGTGACTTAAGTCATTCATTTTGGATGGCATTATGTCTAAATAATAAATATTCATAAAATTTAAGTTGCTCTGAGCTCTGAGCGTTTCATTCGATTTTTTCTCAATAATAAAAACCTAACTGCACGAACAGTAAAATAACATTTAATTCATAGGTAACAAAGAGTAGTCGTTTCTTGATTTAACCTTACTTTTTGTAACTTAATTAATTAAATACTCAAAACACTTGCAAAATACAAATGTCACGCTTATATTTGTTTGCTTGTATGTTTGTAAACATTTGCTGATAAGGCGGTCTCCGGGCATAACTTCGGCTATTATTTATAAAAACCCATACGTTATTTTTCGGCAAGTCAACATTTATTAAATATTATGCCTTTTCAAAATAAAGTAACCTCAAGTTGTAAAGCGCTTAATAGCTGGGTGCAAAAATCAAAAAAAATTAGATCTAACGCCGGTAAGCCCCTAATGTATAATATTACTAATCCCATATAATTTTGCTTTCTTACTTGGAAACAAACATAAATGTAATCAAATTTAGCTGAAATTATGCTATCAATTTCACAAATAATCTCACATATTTTTCAAATCAAGCTCAATTTGCTGAGTAAGCATAGTTTTTGTTGACATAATATATTAAATTACTTACATATAAATGAGGCTTGACATACGGACACATATATTTATATATTAATCTAGACCGGTTTTCCTTTCAAAATTTTACATTGTTACATTTAGCAGCAGCTATTAAGGCTTGGAAATGAGGTTCGAAATGAGACTTATTAGATTAGTTCCAAAAATTAAGAATATAGCACACATTAACAAACTGGTATATGTGTGACTTAGATTAGAATTTCATTATTTGTTTATGAATTTTTTGCAAAATAACTTCATATTCGAACACACACGAGGGTGTTCTGTATCGACCGGAAGCAATTGTAGTAAGATCTGGGCTATAAAGGCTGGTGAGAAAAAACTTTTCAGAATCTATTTTCTAAATAGTTTATTGTAAAATGTCAATCGAAAAATTAATAAGGAAGGGCTGACTTCTGGTGTACCCGAACATTTTATACTCTTGCTGGGTAAAGTGATATGCATTGTGATTTTCGTATATAATATATTTTAATTAAAAGTAGGAAGTATTGCATCTAATAAGATTAGAAAGAGATTGTTTCTGAATTTTATTGCGATTTCCTACATATTGAACGACAGATGCATTATAAAATCAACCGAAAGTTCTAAATATTTAAGTTAGATATATGGGGGCTAAAGGAAGTACTCAACCGATTTTAAATATTTTTGCCACAAGATCATGCAGTCATCACAAAAATATTCTCCTCAAAGAATAATACAAGAACTCACAGATTGACCGATATGTTCAGTAAACAAATCAACCACATACACTGGGGTGTCCACATATTTGGTGTTTGGGTTCTTGAAAAGTTATAGCACGATTTCGACAATATTTAGGAATAACATTAAGTATCTTGAGTGCACAATTTAGGCAAAATCTTACGCTAATAACTTTATTGATGTTTGATTTGTATACTGCAGTGAAAAATTGAGATGGAATTTAAAAGTTTGTTAAACGGAAGTAGGCGTAGTTGTCATTCGATTACACCCATTTTCGCAGTTTCTAGTAGTTGTGTTTTAGTAACCTCTTTGGTTGAAAGAGGTCAAGTAATTTCTGATATGTGGGCTTTCACCTGAAAGTGGGCGGTGGCACGCCTTTTGTCCAATTTTCATACCGGCACCTATAAAGCCTTTCTCTATCATCTTGTTTTTGAAATGTATTGCTTGTGGCACATTTTTTCAGTGAGTTAGCGCTTTTTTAAAGGTTTCAACATATTCGTTATATATGTTAGGGAGTGGGCGTGGTTATTATCTGATTTTACGCATTTGTTTAAAAATAACTTCCCTTCAGCAAGTTTAGTTGATTTAGCTTTAGCGATTTGGAAAATATGTACATTAAATCATTTAGGGGGCGGAGCCATGTTCGCTTTAAAAAATTTTAGCTAGCAGGTGTCCTCCACTTCTATGATCCTCTGCATCAAATCAAAGTTCTGAGTCTTAATTTAGTACTTAGTTATGGTACAATTACTTCCATCTGCAAACTGACCTCTCTTGGGTGCCAAGAAACATATGTAGAAAGTTTCTTAGAAATATCTCAATTTTTACTCAAGTTAACGCTTACACGGACAGACGAAAGGACAGGCAGACATTCGTATTTCAACACGTTTTGTCATTCTGATCATTTATGTATATATGTATCTATATATAACCCTTTATCTAGCTCGATTCGTTTTATGTGATACATACAACCATTAGGTGAACAAAACTGTTCTATACAACAAGTATAATCAACATGTTGCGAGAGTATAAAAATCGTTTGCTTGGTTTATATGACGTCATTAACATGAAAAGAAACAGCTAAGTTGAGGTGTAACCGAAAATTTTATACTATCGCAAAACTAAAAAGCAGCGAAATACGTTCAGGTGTTGGCAAAATCTTCTATTAAACAAGTAAGGCCCTTCCTGCGTTCGCAAGTACGGGTGTAACCTTAAATTTTATACTTTCGTGATTTACATTGATTAAAGACGGCGAAATATTTTCGGGGGTTTGCAAAATTTATATTTAAAAACGTTGCAAAAGAATTCTACATTCATTATTGGGGAAGAGATAACAATGATATTTGGTACAAGGTTTCATTACTATATTTTTTTATGTCCGTCATATTTGTATCTGTATGTTTGTAAAATTAATCTATCTAACATTAATCACTATATTCATCAACAAAGTGTTATGTTTATTGAAAATATTAAATGCCATAATTTTTACAACCAAATATAGTAAAATAAAGCCAATTGAAATATTATCGCCATACCGTTTTGAGACATTTTATATTGATGAAAAATCAATTAGAGAGTGCATACCTTGAGGGCACTATTTGTGCAAACTTTATTGTCGATATCTTCCTAGGTACTATGCTGTAAAGTGAAAGGGCCTGCTGTAATTTAAAATTGTGTGAGAAGCTATGAGTCAATTGCGATA